GGGAAGAATGCAGAATGCAGGCGTAGGCGAGGGGCGGGTGTCTGGGGGGGAGGGAAGCGCCGAGGCCCCGAGGTGGAGGAGGCTCGGTGTCCGTGAGTCTTCCCAAGGAGGCCAGAGTGGGGTAAGCTGGGGAGGAGATGGGGAAGGTCATACATAGCATCAGGTTTGGGGCACGAAAGCATCGCTTTCCCGGGGCCGAGCATTCGTGCTTCCTAAAGCGTGACCTACTTTAGCTGAAATGTCAGCGCCTTGAGAAACAGCGCGTCGTACATTCCTGTGTGTTAGGCCCCTGGAAGGCACAGGCGGGACACTCGGGTCAAGACCTGGGGAGGCTGGCTGGGGTCTTAAATTTCCCCACCTACTGTTGAGCGCATCCCGGCACAGTGGCTTTAGGAAGACGAAGGTGTGCAAGCCCTGCCCGGGTGCTGAATGGGAGGAGGAGCTGCAGCCATGACAGAGCTAACACCCGGTGGACAGTTGCTATTGGGTGCCCTGAATTTTGCACGTCATACCATTTGCCCCTGTCACAGCCTCGGCAGCGAGGCTTATCGCAGATCCAGAAAGAGATGCTCGTGGAGGCAAAGTTAGTGGTTCTTCCGCTTTGCTGCATATTCGAATCACCTGAGTCCTTTGGAGTCCTACTGTCCAGGTCCCACCCCAGACAGATGAAGGCAAGATCCTCGACGCGAGACATCAGAATTCTTTAAAGCTCCTCCACCAAGTAATTCCAGATTGTCACCAAGACTGAGAACTGACGGGTTAAGTAACTTGCCCAAGGTCACCCTCCCCCCGACCCCACACACACTCTAAACATTAAACTCAGAACTCGGACTCAAGTGCGTCTGATTTCGGAGCTCACGGTGATGGCACCTACCTAATAAAATTGCTGCGCGGACACTAGGAAGCAGAGAATAATAATAATTTCGGAGTGAAATGCTGGGTGATCACGGAGAGAGCCCTTTTGAGTAGAGCAGTCCCCGTCGACCTTGGCCGCTCATTAAAATCACCCGAGCTTTGCAAATACTAAAACCTGAGCTTCCGGCACCATCGGTCCAGGGTCCACCCGGGTATCGAGAGTTTTTCTTTTCATCGCCCCGGGTGATTGTGACATTTAGCCAAGATCGAGAGCCCCTGCTTCACAGGGCGACGAAGTCCTGGCCGCTTTCGGGGGAGGGATGCCCGTCTCCTTTGGAGAAGCGGCGTCGCCATCGAGGTGCCCGTGGTGAAGTCAGCACACTCATTCCTCACCCTTTCACGTTTGCCTGTGCCTGTAAGGCTTCCGGCTTCGGGGACTGGGGCAGAGAGGAGGACATTTTTTAAAGTCCCAACTCATAGCATAATATAGATGTGCCTGGAAACAGGGCAGCCTTTAAAGGTTTCTCCCTGCCCTCGGCCCTTCACCAGCATCCCACGTCCTGAATTCGTCCTGTATGCTGATTATGCAGCGGGGCGAAAGAGGTGACTCTCCATAACGGACCGGCTTTATTTCTCACGTCCCTGACACATTGAATTAGGGTGTGTTCTCTCATCTCGGACAGTCACGTAACCCCGCTCAGCACTTTCGACGTGGGGTTGGTGACGCAGAGAACTGAGCTCAGCAGAAAATCCGTTTTTGGCATCGGCGGGGGTGTCCTCCTGCCGAGAACTGGTTTTCTCCAAGGTTCTCGTCCTATAACTGCCCTTTGCCCCCACACTTCCCAGCAAGTCTGAGGTGCTCGCTGAACCCCCTTAGTCAGCCAGAGTAAGGGGTTCCCCGCGGCCTGCAGCTTGCGGGGCGAACCACGGGGCTTCAGCACCACGGAGAGTTCTCCACGGTCTCCTGGGTCACCGGGGGTCTCTGGTGAAGCCTTCCCCACGGGAGTACGTGTCCTCTGCCTTCATGACATGCACACGAAGTAGGATGGATAAAACAGAGCCCAGGACAGTGACCGTCCTCCCGCGTGGCTGCCCTCTCAGAAGGCGACTTCCTCATTTCCGTCAGTCTGTTTCTCTCTACAGACGTTGAGCCGTCCACAGTGGCTGACGGCGACTCTGGAGCTGCATCCCGCCCCCCTTACACGCCACGCTGGGGCAGGCGAAGCCCTTTGGCTCCTTAACACAGCCCCAGACTCCACTGTCTTACAAGATAAGACTTCGGCAGCTAAGAGGTTTGGTAAATTGGGTTTCGAGGGGTCCAAACTTTATTGTGACTCTTGGGGGAATTTATTAGGTTTTGAGTAAGCTTTTTTTAAAACTTCTTTCAAACGTTACTGCAGTAAATCTGCGCTGTTGATTTAGTGAATGGCGGTTCTGGGGTGCTCTCTGCAGTCCCAGAAGGCTTGAACTCCTTCTACTCAGTACCCTAACAATATCCCAAGCCCCGTATCAGGTGGCTTGGAGGGCTCTCGGTCCCTTCGAGGCAAAGGCTTGGCAAAGACTTGCGTCGGCTCAGAGGCGGCAGAGGGCCCTGACCACAGACGGAATTGCAGGCACACATCTTCCCTCGGGCTTCATCCACCAGGGTACCACGGTGTCGCGTCTGACAGTGACCAGTCTGAACGCGTCCCGGTTCACGATGACGGGCACAGAATCCACGTCTCTATCGTGGCTCATTCACAGGGGGCTCCTGGGCCAGCCCGAAAGCGGCGAGTTTTCAAGGTGCCTCAGGCAGCCGAAGCTATAGTCACTAAGAACCAACGCAGCGACGAGACCTGCCACCAACAAGATCAGCTAAGGCTGGTTGACGTTTGCTAGTGCCGAGTTCTGTCCTCCGCGCATGAGACTTGTCCTCTCTTTAGTCAGCCCTCGTATCAGTTCTAGGGAACGGGGAGGATTAGTATTCCCGCTCTGCGAATCGCGGGAGGGGAAGCAGAGTTGCCAGCAGCCAGCGAGCTGGGACTTGAACTCGGGCAGCCTGGAAGCTCACGGCACGGATCCTGACGCTCGCGTGTCGCTGTAAAGAGCCGTAGGACGACGTCTCGGCTCCAACACCTGAGCCCCCGCCTCTCTTCTCTCTCTCACCGCCTCTCTCATGCCCTCGTTTCGTGTCTTCCTGCGTTCCTTCCCCTCTTTCTTATTCTTTAAATAGAATCCTTGGAGATCCAATATTTCCAGCATGGAAAACTAATCGATTTATTACCCCCAGAAGCACACCCAGCATCTCCTACACCAGGATTCTCTGGACCCCACAGCCGGCCCGGAGAGCGTGGGGAAGACGCATGGGCCCAGTGCTGTGGTTGGTGCGGTGACCTTTCCGTCACTCCCTGCCCCAGGCCCTGTGCAAGGTTGAAGGTGATGGGATGAGAAATTAGCATTCTGACTGGGGAGCAAGCCCCCCCAAACCGATTATGCCCCCCGCAAAGGAAAGGGCTTCTCCCCTGCTCGTCCGGGGTACCAGCACACGCCCCGGACATGGCTGTTCGGCACATGAGCTTTCTCTTTCTCGAAGTGCTTTGGAAAACACCCTGAAGTCCCCCGAAGCACGCGGCCTTCCCGGCTGGGACTCTGTAACTGCCGACCCACCCCTGACAGCAACGCTCAGCATCCAGGCGAGTGCCGGAGGGACCTTCTGGAACTGACGGGATCCCTGGCCCGCCCTGCGGACCCACGGTGCGCCTGGAAAGCCGTGTTTCCCGCAGCATTGACTCTTTTTATTCACTGGCTCCAGGAAGCTGCTTCGACGCCCCGTTCTCTGACCTAAACAAACTGGCAAACCGTTTTCTGTAAAGGTCCAGATTGTCGATACCTCAGGCTCCGCAGGCGGCATGTGACCCGACACAGCTACTCAACCGTGTCAGAAGCAGCCAGAGACAAAGTGTGAACAAGCGGACGGGGCCGCGTTCCAATGACACTATTTACAGAAGCTGGCGGCAGGCTGCCTGGGGCTCGCAGGCCACAGCGTGCCGACCCCGTCCTGGAGGCACTCGCCGGGTGTCCCGTGCTCCACCGCCAGCTGTCGTGGGGGAGGACGCTGTCAAGACCCTGGGACTAGGAACCAGGACTCTGCCACCAGCGAGCTGTGTGGCCGTCAGCAGGCCAGTCCCCCTTTCCGGGCCTTACTATCATCATCTAAAAAATGAGACGCTTGGACTGTCAATAGTTCCCAAAGTAACAGAACCGCTGGGGAGAGCGTGCTAAAAATATAAATATAAATATACATATACATATACATAGACCTACCTCAAATTTAGGGTATTTTTCAGAATTCCTCGTTACAGACAACAGAGTCCCTTTAGCTGACGGGTCCCCCTACACAGAAGAGGTTTCACTGAAGGGTGCTGGGCAGTTTCGTAAATTTCTAAGACAGCTGTTGGAAGACCGTATTTGCCACACGGCCAGGGGTAAAACTGACAAGGAAAATGCCCAACCCCGCAGGGAGAGTTTGCAGCCACAAAACGCCACCAGCGCTGACCCCGAGGAACCAGAGAATCGTAACTCCGTCCCCAGCTCCTGCTTTAGAACCCGCGTCCACATCTCAGTCACAGAGGAGGGTCTCTGAGAGGTGGAATCTGCTCAGGCCTGCGTCTAGCTGCAAGGGAGCCTGGCAATGTCATTTCCTGCTTCTCGGCCTCCATGGGACAGGACAGTATGCTCGGAAAGGGTTGAATGGTGTTGAGCGAGCCACCCACGGCATCGGCCACACTTACAGAGCTGGATTTAAAGGGGGTCCACTTAGTTCAAAGGTCATGTGGGTTCATAGTGCAAGGGCGGGACGAACTGGGTTAACTCATTGTCTGAAGAGCCAGGGGAAATCAATCCCGGAGACTCGTCAGCACATGCACTGGTTAATGCCCGATGCTGAAGACTCTTGGCCCAGATCCTTCACCTGTGGGTGCTGCTCCATCCAAGCCCCCCAGGTCCCTGACTTGCCGTTGGCACCGAGCCCGAGGTGCTGTCCCCGAACCGTGTTGTCCTGGTCCTTGCATTCTAGCTCCAGTGGCGAGGAGGACGGCCAGAGAGAGAGAAGGGTCCTCCCCCTGGACACAGCCGGCTAAAAGCTGTCTTCCCTTGCTCCCTTCCAGAAGCAGCGGTTCGTTCCATGAGGTCGTGCAGATGAACTTTGAGATCGCCAGCTTCAGCAGCCTCTCGGGGACCCAGCCCATCACCTGGCAGGTCGAGTACCCGCGGAAGGGGGCCACGGACCTCGCCGTGTCTGAGGTCTTCATCAGCCAGAAGGACTTGGTGGGCATCGTCCCCTTGGCCATGGTAAGGCGTGCGTGATCACGGACGCGCCTGTGCTCGGCTGTCCGATCGCGTCCCCTGACCCTCCTGTTGCTCCCAGGATGTTTACCGCATTGTTTCATTACGAGACGTGACGTGCAAAGTCTCCCACTTTTTTCCGGGCTGGAAGCTGTGACATTTCTCATCTTTGGTTATTTTCACATCGGCCTCATGATATTTGCCATATCGCGCACCAAAGCTAGTGTTATTTGCTTACTTTTTCTTCTCTAAGTCTATTCTAGTTTTTTGGGGTTTTTTTTGAAGGAAATGTTAGGTTACCACATGCATCTATGCTGGTGCAACAGACAACCCTCGATTCTCTGGCATCTGATGCAACGTAGTTATTCTTGCCTATAAAACGCGGCTTAAATGACAGGAGGCTGTTCTGTGTGGTCCCCCAGGCACCAAGCCCGGTGGACACATCACACTGTGCAGCTCTAACGTCAGCACCATCTGGCCTTCTCGGGTTCTGTGACCGAGGAACAGACGGTTGGACAGTCACATGCAAAGTCTTCTAAGCAATGGCCTAGAAACGACATATGACACTTCCTTACACATCCTATTGGTCAAAAGGAATCTGATTTCAAGAGGGCTGGGAGTTGGATGGATACTGTGGCCTCTGCCTCACTACACGAGAAATTTGACACAACACGGCACAAACGCAGCACACGCCAGCCCGTCAGTGACTCCTAGCTGGGCCCATGGAGCTGGCAGCAAGCAAGGGAGGAGGAGGATGGTGAGAGGCTGGACTGTACTTCCCCAGAGTCACGACCCTGTCCACCACGCCCTGCGGCGAGTCTCCAGGACACTCCCTACGTGTGCGGGAGACAAAGACCCCCCCACGGGAGACACAGAGAGGGTGGTGGTTCAGAGGCGTGTGACGGGTACTTTGAAGTGTAGCTTCAGCCGTCTGTGCCAGGGACTTCCGTCCAGTTTCGGGGTGGGCAGGCTTTGCTGCACCACGTTGAGAAGTATATCGATTGGGACTTGGGGGTTACATGTGGCAGAAAACCTAACCCAAAATGGCTTGAGCACAGTGGCTTGTGTAATCCAAAGCCCGGAAGATTCGTGCTGGTTTCATTCACAGTGATCGGGACTCAGGTCCTGTCACTAGGACCCAGCTACTTCCTGGCTTTGCTCTCAGTGTACTCATGGTGGCCACGTGGCAGCCAGTGCTCCTGCAGACGCCTCAAGCTTTGAGCCCGGGAGGAGCACCTGACTCATTTCCTGGGAGGTGGTGAGATTTGCCTGGAGTTTCGAAGCATTTCATGATTATGATTTTTTTTCCTTTGCACGCTTAAGATGAAATCGTTTTCCCTGCCCCCTGAACCACAGTGAGAAGTTAGGGTCTTTCTCTTGTATAAAGCTTTTAAAATTCCTAGAATGCATCCATATCTCTCTGCATAAAATCAAATTTAAAATAAAGTGACTATCATGGGCTGTTTAAAGAAAAGTACCGCCTGTTCTCAAAATAACGATCTTAACCTTCACCTTCCCAGGGTGTCAGGGAGATTCACTAAGGTTTGGGGGACCCCTGGAGCCTCCCTGCCCGGACTATGCAGCAAGAGAGGGTGCTCAGCTTCTGGCTTCTGGTGGGTTTGGCCAGTGGACAGAGCGGGGAGAGAGAGTCTTCTGTGGTGGCTTGAATTGCGTCCCCCCAAAATAGACACTGACATCCTATCTCCCTGTTCCATCTCACTACACCCCCTACTCCCCACCCCACCCCACTCGTGCCCACGCGCGTAGCCTCATGGAAGTCGGGGCTTTGCAGATGCGCCTAAGTTAGGATGAAGTCCTAGATCCAACGCCTGGTGTCCCGGCAGAGAGAGAGACCTTTGGACACGGAGGAGAAGCAGGGAGCAAGGCCACCTGGGGACGGTGGCAGAGACCGGAGGGACGTAGCTACAGGCCGAGGAAAGCGAGAGTCTCTATCAACCCGCAGAATCCGGGAGGGGGGCAGGAAGGCCCTTCTCCTCGGGGGCCTGCCGACACCCTGCCTGGGGGCCCCCGGCCTGCAGCCGCGAGAGGTCGTAAGCCACCCAGTTGGTGACGCTTTGCTCTGGGGGCCCCGGGTCATGGATGTGGCCTGCTTCGCCCCCCCACCTGCTGTGCACGTCTGTCAGGGGCGTGGTCCTCTCTGCCCACGGCTCCTGTCCTGCTGGGGCGTCCGCTTTCCGTGGCCGCCTCCCTCTGGGTTCCGGTGACGGGGCAGCCCTCCCCGGCCAGGAGTGCCAGCTGGGGCAGGCGTCCGGGCCGCACCGTCTCGGCCGCTGCCTGCGACCCTGTCACAGTTCTGTTAATAGCCCCACGTTACACACCCTCAGTTCAGCCTCTCTGGGGGAGGCCATCTGTTTCCAGCCAGGACCCCGCGTGACAGCGAAGGACATGCTGCAAGCTCCCTCCAGGCTCTGCTGCCCAGAGAACCCAGCTCGATTATTCTCGGAAAACAGACGTGATCAGAAGCGCTTGGTCACAACCGGGCCATCTTCCTGCCCGGCTTCGTGGCTGCTCACACCCAAGGGAGGTGTCAAGGGGTCTGTTGGGGTGTCTGGACCCCGCGGTTGGGTTTCTCCAGCCCCTGCGTCCTGTGCTTGCTCATCTGCCTCCTTCGACACTGCCGAATGCAGAGAAGCAGGTGCGGGGCGCTGAGGGTGCGTGAGCAGACCCGTGGCCTCCCAGACAGGCTGGCGGGCCCGCCTGTCAATCTGTAAGTGAAGGACGACTTAACACTGCCTTGGGGCCCGCGGGGACCGTGCGGGCAAAATCCTCAGGGCTGGAGACACGAAGGCCTTTCAAAGAGCTGGCCGCGGTCTCCGCCGACAGGAATCGGAGAATTTTGTTTGTGAGAAGACAGTGAAAAATACATTTTATTGTTTTTCAAAACCATCCTCCCCTGACCTCTCTGCCCCTTCTCAAAATTTCATGTTTGTAGCTCTCCAGGAGCGTTTCAAGGATGGTTTGGATGCTCTAGGCCCATTGACTAACGTTTGCCAGTTGAAAAATAACCCTTCGGGCAGAATAGGTGGGGAGTGGCTTGGGAATTCAATTTTAAAATACCTCTCCCTCCAGCTAAGCGGCACAGACGTCTGTCTAAAGAGCAAATCCATGACTCGCGCGCGAAGCTGCTGTGAGTCGGTGCTCACGATTTCAGGGTTACCCACTCGTTGTCCCGTACGGGGGCCCCAGCCCACTGCCCGCCACACGGTGAGGGCTCAGAAACGGGAGGCCTTATCGTCGCCTGTCGTGTGCTTCCCATGGGTAGACGGAGGGCATGGGAGAGGCCGGCCTTCTCCAAGCTTCTGCTCTCCGTCATGTTACCTGCTCTGCCGCCCCAGAGGTCCTGGTTCTGCGGGTCGGTGGTGGGGCCCAGCATTTGCGTATCTGCCCTCGACGGTGACACTGAAGCGGCTTGGCCCTGGAGCCCTAACTGCTCGTCAGGACCCCGGGCGTGATGTGGGGGGAGGTAGAGCTTTCCGGCCACACGCCCAGAGCCAGTTAATCAATGTCCTTGGAGTCATGGGCCTATTTTCAAGCCCTTCTTAGGTGAGTCAGATGCACATCCGGGATCAGGAACTGCTGCCCTTGGAGGTCTCATGACCTCCGTGCTTGCCCCTTGCTCCATCCAGGTCCTGCTCAAATGCCACCTCCTCCCTGAAGCCCTCCTTAACTACCCTGTTAGGGTAACACAGGGACCTCCGACCCCACCACCCCCTTTTTCTGCCAGATTCCTCCTGCGGCCCCCGTCACCACCAGACGTGGCTCCGTGTGTGTCGGTTGACCGATCGGTCGTCCATCTCCCCTCTGCCTGGCCATCTTCATGTTTATAGGTTCCTGGGCTTGCTCATTGCTGTGTCCCCAACTTCCAGAGCACTGCTCGGCATCTAGTAGGTGGCCGACAGCTGCCCGCATTGAATCGGTGAGTTATAACAATGTACACGCCTTCTATGTCTCACCAAACATTACATAACTCCACTTACAGCCTTGGAAGGCAAAGATTCCAATTTAGAAACTTATAAAGCAGTGCTTTCCAGTGAGACTCTCCGTAACGGTGTGGCAGGTCTGTCCAGTGTGGGAGCCACCAGCTGCACAGGTCACCGACACTCAAAATTGGCTGGAGTATCAGAGGAATTGAGTTTTTAACTTCATCTAATTTTAATTCATGTTAATGTGAGCTGGTGGCTAGGTTATTGGAGTGGTGGTGATGAAGGCAGCAGTTATCCGTGGATGGATAATAAACCCCCCCCGAGGGCCGGGGGTTCAGGACCGGCTCTGCTGGGGCTCCCGTCTCAGGGTCCCTCCTGAGCCTGCAGTGAAGACGCTCGTGCAGCCGCATCGCTGACGGCTGGACGGGGCTTAGAGGGGCCGCCCCAGGCGACTCGCTCTCTTGGCTGGCAAGTTAGCGCCTCTCCTGAGGGCAGCTCGAGGGACCTCACAGCATGGCAGCTGGCTCTCCCTGGGGACCAGGAGGGAAGCTGCAAGGCCTTCTGTGGCACCTCGGAGGTCACGTGCCGTCCACACCGCGGCTTTCTGTGGGTGACGTCAGCCATGCTGACTCGACGTGGGGGAGGACTTCACGAGGCTGGGACCCCTGGAACGCTGTGACGTGGTTGGTCACGAGGGCACGGACGTAAGCATGATGTCCTCACTCTAACAGTTAACGGAGTATGTGTTATTGTCACCTCGAGTCCCCCCACCTTCTGGTTGTAGTTGTTAATGCAATCGATGTCTCTACGTCTGACCCGCGTAGGCAAAAGCTCTTCAGGGTCCGCGGTAGTTTGTGAGGCTGTGGGGAGTATCGAGACCCACACATCTGAGCCCCTGGCCTGGCGAGGGGCCCGGGGGAGCCGGAGACGGGAAAGCAAGGCTCCCCGACCCCGACCGAGTGGCACTGGGCAAACGGGAGCCTTAGCTGTGAGCAAGGGCTGCGTTCGCTCGTCGACCTTTCTACCAAGGCTCCCCCTTGCCCTTCTTTATGGAGGGACTTA